AAAAAAAAAAAAAAAAAAAAAAAAAAAAAGGAATCCTAACTATTCAAGGTTTGTTGTGAGAATTAAATGAAACAGAGTATATACAAAGATCTCAGCACAGTGCCTGGCACACAAGTGTTCAATATATGATAGCTTTCATGTTACTAATACTTGATATATTAACTGGAACAAAATAAAGGATCAGTGACTTAAAAAAAAAAAAGAAAGAAAGAAAATAGAAAGATCTGGGTTAAATTCTAAAATCCCCACTTATTTGTTAGCTGGTGACCTTTTGGGCCTCGCTATTCTTCAGCTATGAAATGGAGATAATAATAGCTGCTACCCTTGTGGAATTGCTGTGAGATTAAATAGAATAAGGCACTAAAGCATTGGCACAGAGCCTGGCACACAGTAAGCTCCCTATAATTGCTCCCTATTCCTGCTCTGAGCCTCGAAGTACCCCACACCTCCCCGGACAGAGCCCTGGCCTCCCTGTGTTATAATTATCTGTTCATCGTCTGCCCCTTTCCCTTTGCTCTGACTAGACTCCGACTTCTGCCTGGATGATGGCAATTCCTCCTTGTGCCCCCAGAGCCTGGCTTGGTGCCTAACACTTGATGGGAACTGAATAAATAATGGGGAAGAAAAGAAAGAAAAAAAAGAGCCAAAAATGAGATGACTCCTGGAGGTGGGGGTGGGTTCTCAGTGCCTAATAAAGAAAAACTCAGTCTGACAAAGTGAAAATCACTGTGCAGATGAGGCCCTTGGGATGAGAAGAAAAGAAAATCAACTTCACCTCAGTGTGTGGGGCTGGAGTCATTTGGATGTGCAGGTCCTCCCAGCACTTACAGAGGGTGGACCGCCCCCATCGCGGCACCCAGAGGCCCGAGGTCTGCGGGCTCCCCTGCTGCAGCCTGGGAGAAGGCAGAGACCTGAGGAGAGGTGTTGGCCTGGCCAAAAAGTGCCCTAGGGCCCCGAAAGTTTGCTTTTACATGCCTTTGTATAGGCCAAGGTTATCCTGCTTCTCAAAGGAAGGATTCGGAAATTCTGCTCATCCACGCAGGCTTCAGAGATACCTGGAAGGCAAAGTGAGTCTGCCTGAACTCACCTGGGAGTCGTTGAAGGGCAGGCACCCTGCGGCAGCCAGGAGGAAGAGGGCACTGTGGAGAGGAGGTAAACACGCGGCTTCACTTGTCAACATCAAGGGTGAGTCCCGGAGAGTGTGGAGGTGGAAATAACACGGACTGGAGCTCGGATGAGGCAAAGATCTCATGAGACCACACCCAATTCCCCCATTCATCCTCTGAGAAACTCACTACCCATGTAGTTTTCAATTATGTGCTCTGCTGACACCAGTTTCTTCTCTGCGGCTCGGCTAGCCATCTTCCCAGAGACAGGCATTTGCAGGACATGTGCAAAACCACAGCTGGCTCACTTGAGAAAAACAGTATATATAAAAGGAGGCTTCTTTAAACTACCGATCCCCAACAATACACTAGTGGAAAATTGGGCAAGCAGACTACAGTTATTCCACTTACCAATAAGAAAACACCACGAAAGCACATTACAAACTTATCGCCTTATCCAAATGATCAAACTTAACATCTCCAATAGTGGGACAGAGCTACATCATGTGCCTCCTGATATGATGTACTGAGAAGGGCACAACGTCACTCATGTGGTATTCCTGCCAAATATGCATAACCTGGACTGAATCACAAGGAAACACTGAGGCAAACCCAAATTCAGGGATAGTCCACAAAACAATGGGCTTACACTATTCAAACTATGAAGGCAATGAAAGGCAATAAAATGTCGCGAAACTGTACCAGATTAAAGGATATGAAAGAGACATGACGTCTTTGGGGGAAGAGATTACTATAAAAGACAATATCGGGATAATTGACCAAATTTGAACATCGACTCAATATTACATAACAGTATTGCATCCGATGTTAATTTTCTAAACTGAATCATTGCACTGTGGTTACACAAGAGCTTCTTATTTTTAGGAGATACGCTTTGCAGTATTTAGGGGTAGAGTCATAACCCCTGCAGCTTATTCTCAAATGGTTCAGAAAAAAAATAAGAGTAAGAATAACTGTGTATATATTCTTACATATTTTATGTGATATATATGTACATATGGAGAGAGAAAGAAAGCAAATACAAAAAACGTTATCAGTGGGTGAATCTAGATAAAAGGTATATGGGAGTTCATTGTAATATTCTTGCAGCTTTTCTATCGGTTTAAACTTTTTCCCAAATAAGGGAATTCCCTGGCGGTCCAGTAGTTAGGACTCGGCGCTTTCACTGCCAAGGGCAGGGGTTCAGTCCCTGGTTGGGGAACGAAGATCCTGCAAGCCACAAAGCGTGGCCAAAAAAAATAATAATAAAATAAAACAAACAAAAAAAAGTTTCATTAGAAAAAAATCTCTTATACATACCAAAATATTTATGGCTGAAACGCTACAATGCCTGGGATTTGCTGAAATGAGGCGCTGGGTAGAGGCTTAAGTTGAAAACTGTTGAATCTGGGGGATGAGTCTACAGAGCTTCATTGTACTGTTCTGTCTACTTTTATATCTGTTTAGAAATTTCCATAATAAAAGGTTTTTTTTTTATAATTCTTGCACAAAAAAGTAACATTGCCAATCACGATATTTTCACATTTTCTCATTCATTAGAAAGTCGATTTGGAGATACTTTTTGGCTTAGAAATCAGTGTTTTTTAGATGGTATATGGGCTTCATATACCAAAATATCTTGGCCTATAGCTTTTGCCAATCATTCTCTCCTCCGAAAGAAAGGCACCAGAAAACACAAAACCCAAAGGACCACATGCTCTCTCCCCCTCTTTCCATTTTATGATGCAACAACATATTCAGGGTTGGGTCCCTTCTGACCATTGCATTACGCGGTGGACAGCAAAGGATCAAAGACATAAACGGGAGCAGTGAATACAGCATTTTCACTATTAGGGGACTTTATCATATGACATCTCACACCAGTATATGTTCTATATACACATCAAATTCTGTATTACTTACATATATATACGTAATACACAACAGCCTGATACTCATAACCTAAGTACACTGGCAATAGTGATGCTAATCAATTCTGTCCACAACCCCCCCCCCACCCCACACACACAGTCCTCACTGTTGTCATCACACATAGTGTGTAACCCTTAAAAGAGTAGCATGGCTGCTGGGCCTGAGGCAGGAGGATGGGTACAGAGGAATCCTCAGAGCTGGGGCCTCAGGGCCTCAGGAAGGGCAGGACAACACGGGACAGGTTCTAACCACTCCAGTCCACCCACTCCTATAGCCTCGCCAACTTTAAAGGCACACACTCAAACAGCCTTGAGACAATTCCCTGGCACCCGACTGCTGAGGGATTCGGAGGTCAGGGTTGGGTGAGAGGAGGGAGGTTGTCCAGGAGGGTTTCTGGGACTGCACAGGAATAGGCAGGTTGTAGGCTGGGGGAGAGGAGAACCCTCATGGCTTTGGTGTCTGCCTGCAGTGGACAGAGGCTTTAGAGGATGCAGGATGCTTCCCCATCCACAGGCAATGAGTGTTAGATCCCCTCAAGCAGACAAGCCCTCAGGGCTGAGGGGAGAAGTGCCAGATGTGAGGCAGCCCCTGGTTTCCCACCAAACTTGGCCTTGAGCAACACCTGATTACATCAGGCATAAATGGGTTTTAATGCCTCTCTTTAACACCTGCTAATCTTTTAAACAAGAGGATGCATCCTGACAGTGGGATTGTTTTTCAAGTAGCAGCCTGTAATAAAGGCAAAAAAAAGGAGATTGGATGAAAGCCCAGAAATATATGAAACAAAAAGTCCTAAATCCACATATCAAAACATTCTGCTGGCTTTCTATCTTCAGGACAGAGCTTTGCAGCTACTGCTGAGGAAGCAGGAAGCCACCAGAGGACAAGGCATCCAGGTCAGAATTAGCACAACAGGAGCACAGGGACCTGCCAGAGGGTCCAGCCCAATTCACGTTTCAGGTGGGAAAACTGAGGCACAGAGAGTTATGAAACCTGCCCACGGTCACGGTGCTGTGTGGCCCAGGACCACGACTCAGATCCGTGGATTCGCAGGCCAGTACTTTTTCACCATGGGAATTCTTAAAAACCCAATGAGGATCAAACATTATTTTTAAAACTTTAAGTCACTTCCATTTTTCCATTTTCATTCTTCATCAGTATTGCACAACTCTTAGTGAAATTCTGGGCATCAATGGCTGAAATCTAGCATGAGTTGTTTTCCCCTTAGGGATAAAATATTTCAGAAAAAAAAAAAGAGCAAATTTGAGAATAAGACACAAAATAGGGATATGTGAGTGTCTGTAATAAATTCCTCTGTCAACTCTCAAGTATGAATTGTCAACAGACGGTTTCTCATCGAAGTTAATATCAGGTTAAATCTTCTATTTTAGATGTTTGTGAAGTTGTTTTCTGTTTTTTTTAAACTTACCTACAGATCTTTGCAGGAGATGTTTTCTGTATGAAAATAAAGAGACGTACAATTAGTCTTTGAAAACTCTTTTTTGTTCCCCTTAAAAGTAAATATTTAGATCAAGAGGCACATAAATTATGAATAAGTTTATTGGGGGCTTAACAACTTGCTGCACTTCAGTATTTATTGAGGCTTTTTCTGCTTGGACCAAATGAAGGATGACTCAGAGGTCCAGAGTTGAGTCACTTCGGCAAAGCACTCTGGATGAGTAGTTTTACCGCTCTCACCATTAGAACTATGTTTACCCACAAAAAAGCAAAATGACGCCACGCCCAAGCCTTCGAATATCTTACACACCGTGAGAAGGAGAGAGAAATCAATGTACCCTGTTTAGGAAAAGAAATTAAGCTCTTGTTCAACTTCTCTTCCGGTCTGTCTCTTTAAATTTTCCTTTCATTAATCCACCTCTGACCTTGAGCAGTGCTATAAATTCTCTGGTATGATGTGTAAATTAGGAAACAGAAAAAAGGAGAAGGGACATTTGACTCCATCCCTAGAGAGAAGGAAAAAAGGGCAGATTGGGGAAATCTAAAGTTACCGTTTAGAGCTCCCTGAAATGAAGCAATTCTAATGCATATTCTACCTTTGATACCTCCTTTTTATTGGCCAGTTTAAGGGAATTAGTCCTTGGCACTTGGGAAGAAAGCTCTAGCAGGAAGAAGCATAGATTTTTTTCATATTTGACAGGGGAAATGGTCAGGCAAGATAATAGGTTAATTCTGGACATTTCAGAAGGATTATTTTGCTAGTTGAGGACAAACTGCAATTTTCTTTTACTCCAGCTCAGATAAAGTGTGAACTATGAACATATTGTTTAAAAATGAAGCACTCAAAAGGTACAAAATTTCAGTTATTATAAAATAAGCAAAGCCTGGGGATGTAACATACAGCGCGGTGACTATAGTTAACAGCAGCGTATTGTATTGAATATATTCGAAAGTTGCTAAGAGAGTAGATCTTAAAACTTCTCATCACAAGAAAAACAAATGCGTGGTGATGGATGTTAACTAGACTTATTGTGGCGATCATTTCGAAATATATACAAATATTGAATCATTATATTGAACACCTGAAACAAATATAATTTTATCTGTCAATTATATCTCAATTTTTTAAAAAAGTAAAGCACTGGCAAAAGAAACATGCAGTTTGCTATGAAGGCTATCTTAAGCTTTCATGTGTGACTAAATAATCCACATTGTATTGTTTTAATAAACACACGATGTGTGTGTACAAAGCAGTGGCTCCCATCTTTAGATCCTTTGTTATCTCTTATACGTTATCTTTCATCTTTGTGGAACCAGCCTCAGCAGAGACCAAAGGCAAAGCCAACCTTGACTCCACTGCCCCCCAGTGGGGACACATCCCTTCAGTACAGAAAGGATGACACACGCAGAGGTGACCTGGCTCCCACCTGGCTAATTGCCCCCAACATGGGAAAACGTGTCACTAAAAGATTCTGAGCTAAATAAAGCTTTCATCTCCAGAGTTCAGAGGAAGAGAAGGAATGGAGAGGATGGAAACAAAAAGGATGCTCAACTCTTCCATGAGTGACATGTTCACCAGCAGGTGCTCGGGGGCTTCCGTTACAGGGCAGCAAATCAACCCTAGTGCCTGAAGGAGTTTGCCCATCCCACAGAGGAGAGAGTCCTTTTTATTTTGACCTCCTCTGACTACAGGAGCCCAGAACCTGAGACATGGAGAGTGAAAACCAGCAAGAAATTCATTACGGAGCTCCAGCCCCCGAGGCTCCGAGAGCAACCGAGGAGTCTGTGTCCGGGATTCCCCTCCGCAAGCCCCTCAGTCCCCAAATCACCCAGTGATAAGTCCCAACGACATCTCAGCTCTGCGTGGGTCACTATAACTCCTCAAGAGTCACGTTGCCAAAGTCACAGTAAGTAGCTGACGCCGCTCTGGGTAAGCTAACGCTCTCTGAGGACTGCTGGTGCTGTCCTAGGTGCTCGAAACATACTGACTCGTGTCACTACGGGTTAATGTACAGTCCTGGGTTACGTGCAACAGATGAGGATTCTGAGGCACAGAGAAATCAGGTAAGTTGCTTGGGATCACAGGGTGTGCGCCCAGGCGATCGAGCTCCAGAGTCTGACCCTTTTGAACGCTATTCTGTCACAGCCAGTCCTGCAGTGACACCCACCGGCCCTTTCAGGCCACTGGCCTTCATTGGCTGCTTCCTCTCTGCCTGGAGTGCCCAGAAAATTCCTACCCATTTGTGTGACTGGGCTCAAATCTGGCCCTTGCAAGCAGACTTACCAGCGGTCGCCCCCCAGTGCACCCACACGCCTGTTTCAGCCCATAGGACATTCTATGGGCATCCCAGCACCTGTTTACATGTCAGCTCCCCATTCAGCATGAGTTCTGTGAGAGTGATAAATGCGTCTCTCCACATCTGTAGCTGCAGAGCTAGCCAGATGTTTGACATGTAGCATTACTTCATAAATGTTGAGCGAGCCAATGAATGAAGAGCAGTATTCTAAAGCTAAACCGTGACAAATACATCCGCGAGTTATTGAGACTAACTCCACAAGCCACACGCTAACTTACAGTCAAACTGTGTGCGTGTGTGTGTGCACATACACAACGAACTAGTTATGGATGGTGACAATGAACCACAGCCCAGACAGAGCTTATTCTCATTATCTGGGAGCGAGGTCATGAAGAGGTCAGCTCTACTCTCCCAAGGCCATCCTAGGGAAACCTGACACATAACGGACCAAAGAGCCCACGTCCGGAGTCACAGGTCAAGTTTGAGAGATGGCATCCAACCATGTTCCTCATGACACCCGGCTGCTTGGTCATGGCTCCAGGCTGAATGATCAGGAATGTAAATCACATGAAGAACATATCACAGTCATCTTCATCACAGAGCAGATTTTAACGCCAAACTACTAGAAACCACCTACAAATCTACAAACAGGGACCGGCCAATATATTGCATTCCACGTGGAGAGAAATGAGGCATTTAGGGATTCCGACAAATAGATCAATGGAAAAATAGGACGTATTTTATCATTTCTGTAAATATTCTACATATGTCTGAACTGAAAGAATGAAGTCGTTTCCTCTAGGAAGTAAGATCACAGTTGATTTCTGACATTTTTTTTCTCTGCATTTTCTACGACTTATTACATCTTATGATATTCGTAAAGGAAAGAAAGGGTTTTTTTAAAAAATAACTAAATAGATATGTAACCCACTCAATTGTTTCCTAACTTGCCCTGACAAGAAATGATGTTGTTTTGTGTCAGTAATGAAATGGAGCTGAAGATTCACAATATTTTGGTATTCACCCAATTGCTTCCGAGGAAAGGTCCTCTTGGCCTGGGAGTCTGGCCCTTGGGCTCTGCTTGGTGGAAATACACTGAGGACCCTCCAGCCCCATGTCCCACCCTCACCTTCACCTACCTGATCTGACTTGTCCATCAAGAAGCAATACCCCATGGAGGGACTTCCCTGGCGGTCCAGTGGTTAAGACAGCGTGCTTCCAATGCAGGGGGTGCAGGTTCTATCCCTGGTCAGGGGATTAAGAACCCACATGCCACGTGGTGTGGCCCCCCAAAAAAGAAAGAAGCAGCATCCCATGAAGATGGCTGGATCTCGTCCCTAGACCAGGTAAATATTCATTTTTAACTCACACAAAAGGTATCCATTTTGTGAATAAGAAGGTCTTCTTTGGAATTTGAGTGGAATTGAGTCAGGGTCTGACTAGTCTCCCAGAACCTGAGCAGTTCCTGGAACCTAAGTGACCAGTTAGTGAATATTTCAGCTCAGCTCCAGTCCCTGGGCTGAGACCTGGGGCTCCAAAAATTACCCAACCACAGGGTCACTGCAATGAGAGGGCTGGAAGCAGGCAGAGATACAGGGAAAATCATACTGTATTTCACTGAATTTAAGATGCCACTGATTGTAAAATTAGTATTTTTTATACTACTAAGAAAAAAAAAACCCAACAAACATTAGACCAGGACATACCATTGACTATAAAACCACCCTGATTTTAGATAGTGAAAACTTATTTTTTATTTTTTAAGGAATTATTTTATTTTTACTTATTTATTTTTTTGGCCACACCACGCAGCATGTGGGATCTTAGTTCCCTGATCAGGGATCGAACCTGTGCCCCCTGGAGTGGAAGCACTTAACCACTGGACCGCCAGGAAAGTCCCGATAGTGAAAATGTTAGATGTGAGAAAAAGAAGCACATGTTAGAATTGATGAAATATGGAAAACTGCAAGCTGGTGTGATAAGTAAAATGTCAGCTGAGGGTGCTCAAGCTGCCTGAGGTGTCAGGGAAGGTTCCCATGGCAGGCAGATTAGCCTAAAGTACGGAGCCTCGCTGGAGTCACTACAGGCTTCCCTCGCCTCCTGTCATCCATTCTCCTCCGCAGAAACTGGGGGAGCTTTTAACACTGTGAAGCTGCAGTGTCTGTGGGCCTTATAACCCAACCGGTTCCTCCCAGTGCACTCGGCATAAATCCCAAATTCCTAGCTCAGCCCCAAAGGCCCGTCTCCAAGCCTCATCCTAAGCGCCCCCTCTCTTTCTCATCAAGCTCCAGCCACACAGCCCAGAATGACTTCCACCAAGTCCCTTCCTATGTCTGGTCCTTTGCATCTGCTGCTTCCTCTTCCAGGGAGCCCTCCCCTCCCCACCATGTCTAACTCCTGTTCATCCTTTGTCTGTGTTTAATGTCACTTCCCCAGAGTGGCCTGCTCTGGCCACACATTCGAGCAGGTGGGTCTAATTCTTAGTTTAATGTCTGTCTCCCCTTCTGGGCTGATGCTCTGTAAGAGCAGCAATCATGCCTCTTCCTTACAACTGTAGACCCGGGCCTGGCAGGGTGGCCACGTACACAGGGACGTAGAAATATTCATAGAGTGAATGGGACAGGGGTGCACGAAGAGGTTTGCTGACAGATTAGAGGAGAGAAACACTACGACATGGTCTAGGGAAAGTGAGAAAAGTTTGCTTGTGGCTGGAATTTCTGAAGCAAGAGAGGTTGATGGGGCCCAGGTGGTGAAGGGCTTTGCAGGCCTCCAGGTAGCTTCTGGGTGGTCCTGAAGGGCTGTATGTAGGGGGACATGATCAGATCCATGTGTCAGAAAGGCCCCTCGGGAGTGCTGGTGTGTGGAGTGGCCTTGGCCACAGGAAAGGTGTCTCTCTGTCCCTGGCACACCTGTAAGAAGTGTGCTGCCTGCATGGCCCACTAGCCTCTCTCGAGCTTAAAAGTTCCAAAATTTTGATGTGAAGTCATTTGAAACAGGCAGATGTTAGAAAAAAGGAACTCTCAAAAGAGGTACCAAACTAAAACCACCAATCACGTTAAAAATCATAGCTGAACTACATAGAAGGTACAAAGCACCTACTATGTGCCGGAAAGTGCTGGGAGCACCTACTAGCACCTGTGCTGCATGGTGTCCTCCCAACGACTCTTTGAGTGGGTGACATTTCTCTCCCCTTTTCATGGATGGAGGCCCGGAAGGTGAGAAAACGTGTTCCAACTGGTGGAAGGCAGAGCTGGGGTCGGGAGGAAAAGAGGATGCCCCCAGGGTGGGCTAAAGCTCCCAGCACCCTGTGGGAAGCTCGCCAAATATTTCATCATGGTGATGGGATGTGGTGGGGGGAGGGGGGGATGCCTCACCACCACCATCCAGGCCCACAGTCATCTCTACCTCGGCCCCCCCAGGCCCTGGCTCAGCGCTGGCCTGGGGTTGAGGTCCATTCAGACCCACAAGCATCCCCAAGTATGTCTGGTGAACTGAAGGGATGTCAAAACCGTGATCCTTGAAATTAGTGACCACCGTCAGGCAGGCTTGACTGGAAACAGATGGCAGGAAAAGGCAGACACTAATCCGGACCATATATAAAAAGCACGTCTTTGAAATTTCAAGCAAGGGAAGTGAAACTAGCCTTTTGCGTAATCATTTACCTCTTTCTGAAAACACTTCTGGTGCCCACAGATTATAACTTCGGCTACATTATGCAAAGTGAGAAGCACAGGAATGGCCTGAAAGAAAACAAAGGAATAAGCATGAAAATATTTTCTTGGATCTCATAATTACATAATTCTTGATTTGTGCTTAAAAATAAAGATCTGTGGGAACTTCTGGCATTCACATTGATACTGCTCTCCAGCAAAAACTCTTCTGCATGGATCAGTGTTCTTGCTTGCAGCATTGTGCTCAGTAGGGCGGATGTACAGGCTCCCCTCTTACGGGTATTCTCATCATTTATTAAGCACCTACTGTGTGTCAGGTGCCATGCCAGGTGCAGGGGACACATCCTGTGAACAGGTGGACACATGTTAGAGAGGCTGTCCCTATTGAGGTAAGAGCTCTGACCGAATGCACAGAAAGGCATGACCAACCCAGTGTGGGCAGAGCATGCCTTCTCAGAGGAAGTGAAGTCCAAAGTCTAAACGGGAACAGAATGATGAACTAGAATGAGCCCAGGGACTTCCCTGGTGGTCCGCTGGTTAATACTCCATACTCCCAACGCAGGGGACATGGGTTCGATATCTGGTTGGGGAACTGAGATCCTACATGACGCATGGCACGGCCAAAGGGAAAAAAGAAAAAAAAAAGAATGAGCCCAGCAAAAAGAGACAAGGCGGGAGAGGGCTGGAGGCACACACAAGGGCCCAGAGGAGCAAGGAAGCCCACCTCCTCGGGGAACCACGGGGAGTTGAGTGGGGTGGAATATAGTGGGGAAGAGGAAGGTGCAGAAGTAATCACGTGCCCTATCAGGGAATCAGGACTGTCCCAAGGACCATAAGAGACACTGAAGAGTTTAAAGCGCACCGCGCATGATTTGGTCTGCGTGTTTAGGGGACCTTGGACTGCTGGGGGGGGCAAAGGAGGCAGAGATGGTTGCGAAAGTTCAGTGGGGTGGTAGACGGAAAAGCGGCCCTCCAAACTATAGCTGCATCCTAGTCCCTGGAACCCATGACTATCACCTCATAGGGTGAAAAAAGGGCCTTTGCACATGTGATTAAGGTGAGAATCTGGAGGTGGGGAGATTACTCTGGATTATCTGGGTGGGTCCCAAATGCAAACACAGATCTCTTCCTAAGAGATAGGCAGAGATTTGACACACACAGAGGAGAAGGCGATGTGACCCCAGAAGCAGAGACTGGAATGATACAGCCACGAGCCAAGGAGTGCCAGCAGCCACCAGAAGCTGGAAGAGAGACGCAAGGAGCAGATTCTCTCCTAGAGCCTCTGGAGGGAGCGCAGATCTGCTGACACACCTTGGTACTCACTTCAGACCCCTGGCCTCCAGAACTGGGAGAGAATATATTTCTGTTGTTTTAAGCCACCTAGGTAGGTGGTAATTTGTTACAGTAGCTACAGGAAACTAACACAAGGAATGACAAGACGGTGGCCTGAACTTGGTAGTGGCAGCGAAGATGGAGAAAAGTGGCCACATGGGGGAAATATTTAGGAGACTGAACTGCAGTAAATGATGGGATAACTGGGATCAACTTTGTACCCCCAAAAAGTGGGGGGAGGGAGAAGATATAAAAAAAGGTAACACTCCAGTGGGTTATCAAGATACACGGAGTACCCACTGTACATTGACTATCGCTGGGCTGTTTGCTAAGAACAGCAGTCTTTCCTAATTTGATAGATAATCTTGACAAGGTAAAGGGGAGGGATTAAGGGGTGAAGGATTGTGCTATTATCTTTGTTGCTGCTGCTGATGATAATGTCTCCTGGAAAGTAGAAAAAGATCAAGAATAATGCATGGGTTTTGGCATCAGCTGGGCTTCAGGCTCCAGCTCCACCATCTGCTAGTGGAGCAGGGCATGTATCCAAACAGTTTGCTCCTCTGTAGTATGAGGATAACAATATCTACGACCTGGAGCTATAGGGAGGAACAATGGAAATAATGCAGGAGCACTGCATGAAGGCTGTCAATATTAAGAGGTACCAAGCCCACGCTTAGTGGCCTCGATGGAGGACCCTGAGCTGGGAAATTATTCCAGCTTCGAGGACTCTTAAGTGGGTCTTTAAGCAGATGTTGCTGCCCAACCACTTCCAGATGGATTTATTCTTTATCTTTTGGCTGCGTTGGGTCTTTATTACTGCGTGCAGGCTTTTCTCTAGTTGCGAATGAGTGGGTGCTACTCTTCGTTGCGGTGCACGGGCTTCTCATTGTGGTGGAGCACAGGCTCTAGGTGCGGGCTTCAGTAGTTGTGGCACGTGGGCTCAGTAGTTGTGGCTCGCAGGCTCTAGAGCGCAGGCTCAGTAGTTGTGGCGCAGGGGCTTAGTTGCTCCGCGGCATGTGGGATCGTCCCGGACCAGGCCTTGTACCCGTGTCCCCTGCATTGGCAGGCAGATTCTTAACCACTGTGCCACCAGGGAAGTCCCTGGGAGTATATATTTTTACCTTGTCTTTAAGACTTTTATAACTGTATAGCTCTGCCCTATTTTGGTATTTTGTTCTAACTCGCACTGTTTCATTTCATTCTGAGCTCTCACCTTACATTTTTCTTGCCTTTTTAACATTCTCTACTCCTTTAAAAGTGCAGCTGAAACTTTTTTCCTTTTAAAATCATCCTTTATTTTAATTATTTTCTATGTTTTTCATCTTTTGTGCTTCTTTTTATCCCTCTTAAACTTTTATATTTTCAATTATTCTTTATGTATTTTAAGATTATTAAAGAGATTTTTTTTTTAATTGGCTTTATCCATTGGGCTCATGTTTGGAAAACGTGCGCCCTGGCCTTCTAGGTCTGAGCCTAAGAAGATAGCACAGAAAATCTTAGAGAGGTTAACCCTGTGGTACATGACATGAAAATGAAAGGGCAACCTGGATCTTATTTATTTAAAATTAAGCCCTGATTTAAAATGCTTTTGCCTCCTTGACTATAAAAGCAGTAAGGAAACGAGATTTAGGGTGACTCTAGACCCTAACTCTAGACTTAAAGGAGGCTTAATTTTCTCAATTTTATAAACCGTGGACAGGTTTCTCCATCTGCCTAGGAGATTCTGATCAGATTCTGGAAAAGGATCTATCTACACATACAGAACTGATTTTACTTTATTTTTTATTCTATTTTATTTTTTAAAAGAAATTTGCCTTTGTAATTTTTAAATTAAAAACATTTTTTTACTATTTATTTATTAATTATTTATTTTTGGCTGCACTGGGTCTTAGTTGCAGCATACAAGATCTTTAGTTGCAGCATGTGGGTTCCTCAGTTGTGGCATGTGAACTCTTAGTTGAGTCATGCACGCAGGATCTATTTCCCCAACCACGGATGGAACCCAGGTTCCCTGCATTGGGAGCGCGGAGTCTTAACCACTGGACCACCAGGGAAGTCCCCAGAACTGATATTAAAGTTCTCTAATAATAGATACCAACAATGTGTTCAGCACAGTGCTAATTATTTTAATTGCATTCTCTTATTTAAACCATGTATCAACAACTGTATCCACGGATGCTTGTTGCATTTACAGACAAGGAAACTGAAGCTTAGGGTTTTTACAGACAAGGAAACTGAAGCTTAGAGTGATGGGGCAGCTTGCTGGCGAGCTCACAACTAGTTCTGGGTATGACTCCATGACTCCAACCCAGTAACGGCAACGCCCACGCTCCTAGCCTCGATGTTATAGGAGCCAAATTACAGCAAGCCCCCAGTATAAACTTCCTGGACCTACAACTGTGCAAAGTCCAATACCATTGTATTCCAAATTCTGCCAGTCTGCTTCCTCCAGCAATGTAACTGGTATGATCTAAAACAGATGACCTCGGAGTAAACGCTATGCCATTTTTTAAAGGGATATCTTCCATTTCCACTTAAAAAATTTTTAATCTGAATTTCTCAAGCCATTTTTTCAACTGAGGAGCTAACAGACTTTAGAAACAGTAATTCTACGACTGATTTTATCAGCCTCCATAGAGATCTATCAAAAACAGTATTAAGGCAGTCTGCAATTTATGATTACTGATTTTCCCTTGGCCTCTACCTCTGTGCATGAAGCCCCAGTCTGAACTACGTTATTAGTTCAAGAGACTCCAGTGACTGATTATTTTAGAAAAGCTGCCTTTTATCTTTATGGAGTGAGGTTCAGC